GCTTTTTTAAAGAAATAAAATTGCTTTGACATTTTTATGTAATATGTGAGATAGATTGATGTCTCATTCTGAAGTCTTCGATTTTGGATGCCCCAAAACACAAAAAGATGGTATGCCCATCTCATAACCACATGCAATGCTCTGCCAGAAAAAAATTTCCAGCACTGCTCAGTGTCTTGATCAAGTGCAGCAGGGCCTGCTCTGGGCCTAAGTAAAGGGAGGTACGTGTCATAGTGGGTATTCAACTGAGCTCATGTCAACTTACTTTAGCAATAATGAAAATTCATTGGTTTGACATGTATGCTGCTTTAGTTTTTTTAATTTAAAATTTTTAAATAATCCTTTATTAATTTCACAAAAAGAAAATAATTCTATAAACAATCCCTTGGATTATTACTACCCTGTAATTCAAAAAATGCAGAACAAATTTGAATTAGACATAACCCACCAGGAATACTGTATTTTATGCTTGTGATTAGGAAAATATGTAGTTTTGCCAGATTTAGTAAAAACAAAACAAAAAATGAAACTAAATGCCCCAGTTTAAATTTCAGGTAAATACCAAATGATGTTTTAGTATGTCTCATCGTCACTAGGTAGGACATGATAGCTTGTCTCTTATGGGCCTGCCTGATTTTTTTTTTTTAATAGGATGTCTTATTTTATTCTTTTAGCTAGAGGGGTCTGTTAGCAATGTTCCTTAGCAATCTACTGTTATGCTGAAAACCAAAGTTAGATTTTGGAATGGTCTCCTGGTGAATTCCTTTTCGCCCTGTCTCTGGTGATTCCAAGGAACAGTTACTGGGAGGCTTCCTGATGTCAGAATCAGCATGGAGTAGAGCCAGCTTTAAGTACTGCTCACTTTCCCTCAAAGTCTAGAGAGTAGGTGTATAAGTTTACAGTCCAAACACAAGACAGTCTAGATTATTAATGAAAAGTGTTAACACTACCTTGGATTTAGAGTATTTTCTCTTTAAAGATTAATTCTCTGTCTTCACTTATTCAAGGTGGGTTGAGGAAAGAAGTATATTCTTTTCAATGGAGTTAACTCTTCAGGTCTCTTCTGTCATATTAAGTATAACTGAGTGAAAGAAAGATTTATTGAGCTCTTATCTTCCTGGGGTATTGGAAATAATGAGCTCAGTGACACATCCTAAGCCTCAGAGTTTATAGTCTTTCAGTCTACCAGACTATAGCCTACAGGTATTTACAATCTTTACTTAGGTTTAACTATGATCTTGGGGTTTGTCTTTGCAAAGGATAGCCCTCCAGAATGCAGGGCAGGCATTCACTAGTTCTTGAAGAAACTTCAGCAATTCCTCCGGATTTTTCTTTCTTTCTTTTTTTTTTTTAAAGATTTTATTTATTTATTTGAGAGAGAGAATGAGAGAGAGAGAGCATGAGGGGGGGAGGGTCAGAGAGAGAAGCAGACTCCCCGCCGAGCCGGGAGCCCGATGTGGGACTCGATCCCGGGACTCCAGGATCATGACCTGAGCCGAAGGCAGTCGCCCAACCAACTGAGCCACCCAGGCGTCCCCCTCCGGATTTTTCTAGGATAAAGTATACCCTCCTCTCTGAGGCCCCATCCACATACACAATCAGGGTGATTTTATTCTGCTGGGTTTTTCTATAGAATTTAATGCAGCTGGCAAAATACTCAATTTATCTTGCCTGGTAGCAGGCATTCTCGAATACATTTAATGTTAACTACTGTATTCAATGTTTTAACGCTTCATAGCTCCTTAGATCTTTCAGAGCTTTATGGCACTGAATGCCTGATTTTGTACCACAGACCAGCTTTGTAAGAACTGAAAAGGACCTTCTGTGTACCACTCCTGCTGAAGGGGAAGAACGTAGAGGTAAAAAGTATCCCCCGTTAGGGCTTTGCCTGTTTGTTACCTATGTACTTGCCTATTAAAAAGGTACAATCACCTAGTTCTCAGTGTAGACACCTCTGTTCTTTACACAAGAAACCTCTTCCCATGTCAATCTCAAGTAAGCTGCATAAAAGTAAGTGCTAAGCTGGATTTATTTTTTAAAAATTATGAAGACAATAAAAAAATAATGAACACAAGAGAAACCCCATCACTAACAGTAATACAGACACTATAAGAGAACACTCCAAAACATTCTAAGTTTTCTTTTAAAGATTTTATTTATTTATTTATTTAAGAGAGAGAGAGAGAGAGAGAGAGAGAGAGAGAAGCAGGGGGAGCGGCAGGCAGAGGGAGAAGCAGGCTTTCCACTGAGCAGAGAGCCAGACGTGGGGCTCAATTCCAGGACCCCGGGATCATGACCTGAGCCGAAGGCAGACGTTTAACCGACTGAGCCACCCAGGCGCCCCCCAAAATTCTAAGTTTTTAAAAAATCTATTATGTCTATGAATGTTACATTCTTTACACTTTTTGGACATTGTGAACTAGGCTTTTTTTAATGTATCAGGAAAAAGTCCCAATAATAGGCGTATAAAATAGCAATATAAAACCAGAGATTGCTCATAATGGTTAAAAATTCTCCCTCTAAATATCTTAGTTCAATACAACAAATACTGAATAATGAACTGAACAACTAATTAAAAAGTGCTCTATGGATACAAAGATCAGTAAAAACCATTCCCTGACATGGGAGGATTTAATATATGATATGGCACAAATATGCCAATAATGTACTAAGAAGGCAGAGTGTGACTCACAACAAAGAGAGGAAAATACTATATGGGTTCCAAGGAGGGATACTTGGTTGCGGTAATTCAAAAAAAGCTGTAAAGAGGGAAAAATAATTTAAGGGTCTTAAAGGATGAGGTGGATTTGGTAACAAAGACCAACAAGAAAGTTTCAGGAAGAGGAGGCAGACTTTGTTCCAAAACTTCGTACAGTCCAGGTTAACCGGCGTACTGTGCTGTACACGTTCAGAGTATGGGGAGATGCGCTAAAAAGTTGATCCAGCCTATTGTGGACAGCCTTGACCTGAAGACTTAATATTAGCCACTTTTGGAGATCCGTCAGCGGTTTTTGAGTTGAGGGTGTCGAATTGGTTTGTGGAAGCAAGGAGACCACAAAATAGGAAAATCAGTTAGGTTACTGCAATTATGCAGATGAGAATTGATAAAGGCCTACATCAGAGTGATGGCAGTGTAAACAGAAGAGGGGATAAGATCAGACTTTGAGACTGAAAACCCAGGGCTTGGCAACGAAAGGAAGCAAATGGATTTGGAAGGCGGTAGAAAAGCTAATGGTGAGGGAGAAAGGATTTCAAGATGGTCCCACGGCTAAGGTTTGTCTAGGACAAGGTTCTCAACCTGGACGCTACTGACATTTTGCATCAGATACTTGTTATAACAGGCAGGCGGTCCCGTGCATTACAGACTGTTGGCGGCATCCCTGTCCTCTACCACCTATCAGATGCCAGTAGCACTGCCGCCCCCTGTGCCAACCAAGTTTCCAGAGGCTGTCAAATGTCCCTCAGGGGGCAAAATCACTAGCTGAGAACTACTGGTCTAGGTAGTGGTTGTGCCATTAATCAGGGGCGCCTACCAGAGATGCCAGGACAGCTCTTTGACCATAATCTCAAGCTCGAAGGGGATGCTCATTTTTCCTGCAATGGCAAATTTGTGAAAAGCTGGAACCTTTTCACCAATGTTCATTTCGGCCTTACACAGATCCCTGATCTCTCTCTGGGAGTTATGTGTTCCCCACCCCTGACTAGGTACACAGTTCTCAAAAGACAAGCCTTTTCATCAATCAGGAAGTTTCTTACAGGCCACTCAGGGAAAAAAATCAATTTTAAATGACCTACATTATCTCTATATTTGTTATAGTATCTTTGGTCATCTATATCATGCCTATACTTTAATTTGCAAACTTGAATATTATAACTATATAACCTGGCTAGTAACCTTTTAAATTTATTTCTTCATTGTACTTTTATATTATAGTCTGCTCTAAAATAAGTTTTCCTTTTCATTTTCCCATTAGTTTTACTTCTGATTTACAGTATTAATATTTCCCAATGGATTTATATTTGTTTATACACTATGATTGTATTTGTCAGCTCTGGATGTTTTTTACATGTTTATATTTTGACATCAGTAGTGTTTTAAAGTTATGAATGTTAACCAATGATTAAACATATACAATTTTTAAAAATTTAGGCCTTGAGAAATTTAGTCAAAAAGTAATTATTATACACTGATATAGAAAATTTGATTTCATAGTTTCATTCCATAATATAAAACAATTTGGACATTGTTATCTAGGCTTCTGTTCTTTATGCACTATTTAGAAAAATTAACAAATAATTAAAATCCATTGACTCCATCAGAGAAAGAAGAATGAGGGACCTCAAAAATCTATAAGCTGCTCAGGCCACCCTGAGGTTGTCTGAAGGGCCTAATATTAGAGTAGTAAAGAAGCCAGGAAAAAGAGTTAATATCTTACTATAGAAAACGACTCTTTACTACAAACTTATATATCAGCCCCATCACATTTTGTGCCCTTTGTAGGAAATACAGACACTATGTTTTTAATATATAACTCAATACTACTCAAGTCCAGTCCAGGTATTAACTGAACTTTCCAAGCCAAAAGTAAGTACCCTAACTCTGCCTAGATACAGCACAGATGTTAGTCCCACGGTTTAGTTCTTACTTCTTTCTCCCCTTAATCAGAGAGAAGTCTAGACATCAAGTTCCTCCATTATATTTAAGCTCTTAAGTATTTACTCATCTTCACAAACCTAATCAGGCTTTGCCTATAACAAGCCTTCAGGAAACATTTCTTGAATGAAAGCTACTTCATCCCAAAAACAATGTTCAGAGTCCCCATATTTGAAAATGTATCTTCCTATCCCGCAAGATTAAAAGATTCGGGGAATGAATGCATACATTCTATAAAACTGACTAAATTTACCACAGTAAACTGTTGTTTTCCTTTCTTAAAGACACTGCTCTGCAAAATTAAGAGTACTTTCTCAGTTGCATAGCAAATAAGACAAAAGTTCCATTGTAACAAAATTCAAATGTTTAATTTTTTTTCAAAACTTAACTATATTAATGAAAATAAATTATATTTAGACCACCTTCAATATTTGTACATCATCTTTATACAACTATAACAGTGCTTTCAAAAGATATTTTATAAAGGACCTTAATTTCCACAATTAAAACGTGTTTTAAAAACGGGGGAAACATTAAAGAACATTAAATTCATCTGAAATATCTCATAATGCTGAGAGGTATGCTGTTCTTTATCAAATGGACTGTAATCTGTATTCAAAATAACATAGCTTTTAGCTAAATACAATTATTTCTTGTCCATTTCAGTGATTTCCTGGATCCAAAACAAAATCTGTGTATTTATTTCTTTGAAAACATCATTTGTTGACCGTCCTTTCACTGCCATGGAATGATTTGCCTTCTCAATCCAGTGGATTTTATTGGGAGCTTGCATTTTCTGTGCCACTTTCTCCAACAAGTTCTAAAGGAAAAAAAGAAGAGGATGCTAGACTAATGCTCTTTTAGGGTTTAATAAAGATCCTCTCTCTCCCCTGCACCACCTCTACTGGCATCCATTCACTAAATATTCATTAAATACCTACTCTACAGACAACTTTCAAGGCAATGGAATACGCAAAGAAATGTCCACAGAAGTGGCAGTCCACATCTCTCAAATACAGCAATACCACAGAACAGATCAAGCATTCATTACTGACAATATATAGTAACATGTACAAGTTACTCTTTCTCGAGTCAATTTTTTAACAAACTGAAGAATCTGCTTAAATGTTGAAATGATAAATCAAATGTACAGTCTAGTATAAATCCCAAAATCACAGAATTCAGATATTAATCTTTTATTCCCAAATAAGAGTCAATCCATTTAGCAACTCTTTCCAGGGAGATGAATTCTATCAGTATGCTTCTATTTTTCAGTTCTCCAAAGCAACAGGTAACTAAGTCACAAAATTAGCATGAGTCCAATCAGGACCTTTTAAAGAGACTGAAAGTTGTAGATAACATCTTGTTCCCAAGACACTGTCTTTCATTCACTCTCTCATTTACGCAAACATCAAGTTATAATTCACCTTTTCACACATTTCATCTGCTGAGCCTGACACAAACAATACAGGATCTTTTATACGATAGAGATCTTCATCTCTAAGTTTATGTTGCTGCTTTGGATGGTGCAGTGGGTAAGAAATACAAATGAGACCTCGAACAAAATCATCAGCATCATCTGGCTCAATATGGCACATTACAGAAGCAGCTGCTCTTGAGCCCATTGAACGACCTAAAATCAATTAAAATTAATTTCAGTTTGAAATATAAACATTCATATATAGAAGTGATAATATGGCAAATTAGATTTCATTTACTGTTCATCCATCATAACTCTATCACTTAACTCCAAAAGGTGGCAATTATCAAGTTATAATACCCATAATGGACATCTATAGCTTCATGAAATGCTAAACATTGATCCCAAGTCAAAAAAAAAGTGGAATTTTTTTTTTCCCCTGAAGAATACTTGAGGTAAGGACAATCCTTATGAAGAATCATTTGAGAGACAGTGACTCAGGGATATAAATAAAAGAAAAGCTCTTTGGGTTACAATACATACTTATGAGATTTAAATTTGCTTTAAATATATAAAGTACTTTGATGTTATACAACAAAGTGACTTACCAAAACAAAAAAAAATTTTTTTTTTAAGATTTTATTTATTTATTTGACAAAGAGAGAGACAGCAAGAGAGGGAACACAAGCAGGGGGAGTGGGAGAGGGAGAAGCAGGCTTCCCGACAAGCAGGGAACCGGATGCGGGGCTCCATCCCAGGACCCTGGCACCATGACCTGAGCCAGAAGCAGATGCCTAACGACTGAGCCGCCCCAAAACAAAAAAAAAAATTTTTTTTTAAAGATTTTATTTATTTATTTGAAACAGAGAGAATGAGAGAGAGAGAGAGCACATGAGAGGGGGGAGGGTCAGAGGGAGAAGCAGACTCCCCGCCGAGCAGGGAGCTCGACGCGGGACTCGATCCCAGGACTCCAGGATCATGACCTGAGCCGAAGGCAGTCGCCTAACCAACTGAGCCACCCAGGCGCCCATAAAACAAAAAATTCTTAAATTAGCTTCCTATCATCAATTAATTTTAATTCCTGATCACCTGTTCCTATATTAATATGAATAGATTTAAAAGCAAGTATTGCAACTTACCACCAAGGAAAACACCTGCCAGTTTGTATTCTCCTGAGGTCTTCAGGTAATTCTAGAAAAACCAACCAAAAAATTATCAGTTCTTCTCCTATGAAATATTCCACTGGAAAACCAACAAGTATTTCTCATCATTAGTGAAATGTATAAAACTCTTTGCAAAGACAACCATAAAATCTCAAGGGATTCTTCTTGAAAGAGGTAACTAAACTAGTTCTTTGCTCTTCTGGTCATGCTGTCACTATCAAATCATAGCTGGGTAAATACAGGCAAATAAATGAGGAAAAAAAACTACTTGGCCTGTCTAAAAGAATTAAAGTACTAAAATGTTTTTAAAGAATTACATTAAAAAAAAACAGCCAGTAAAAGCTTCCAACCAATACAGAATAGTACTAAAATCTAATTTAAAGCCCTGAAAAACTTAGCAAGTTTGAAATAATCTGGATTTTAAAAATTTCAATTTGTGTTATCCAGGGATTTTACAGTTTCAAAACTGTGCTATATTTGTACATTCATAGTATAGTAGGCAAATATCCAGAACTATATTCTGAAGTTATATAATTCCATTAAGAAAATTACATCATAGTTTCCTTGGTAGTACCATGAAAGAACATTTATGATGTGAGCACTCATCTCCATGGAAACTGAGAGCAAAGAGAAATCTGACTACTATACAGCCCTCATGTACTGTTGAGTTTCTAAGAATATTCATTAGAAGTTTTTTAAGATAAACCAAATGACTGCTAATAGAATTTGTCTTAAATGTATTAAGAATTTTAAAACAAAATTCTGTTATAAGTAAATATAAAGAAATTTTCTTACCAAAACTGATTTATATGCCTTAATTCTATGTACAATATTAAGGCCTTTACAGGTAAATCTCAGGCAAAAAAAACCATGAGATGCAAGATGGGATGCCAGTGACATCAAATGAGGAAGGTTCATATCTCCTGACGCTCCATGTGTAAGAATTATTCCATATGTTAAGCTCTTGTTAGGTACCAAACAAACAGCATCTAGTAATTTATTTCCAAAAGGTATTTTTAATTTAACCTGGAATTCAAGAGAATAAAGGGATCAAAAATTACTTCCTTGCCTATTCAGACAACTAAATAACTATGTTTGTTCTGTGAAGCCCATGATTCACATGGCCTCCAAATAAAAAGCATTATTAACAACAGCTAATATTTAAGTACTTATTGTGTGTCAGGTACTATTATAAGTGCCTTATATGTATTAACTTATTTAACCTTCCTAATAATTCTATGAAGCAAGTACTTTTTATAGATGAGAAAACAGGCACAGCAGGTTAAGTAATGTGCCCAAGGTTATACAGCCACTAGCTATATAGGCTAGCGGCTAGGATTCAAACTCAGGCAGTTTGCTCCAAAAGTCCTTCCTTTAACCACTAATGCTATACTGTCTCTCACAGTACAAGTTAAAAATAAGAAAATTACTCTGGAGCCACATGACTTAAAAAAAAAAAAGGAACCCTGAAGATGCAGAACGTATGAAAATATGTATTACCTCTGTATGACTCATTTTCACTGTTGAATAACAAACTTAAAGTGCATTACATCTGAGAAGCAAAGGACATCTCCCTGAAAAGAAGATTCTGTTGTGAAAGGTCGGTTGGCAGACATGGATATGACATAAGAACTATTAATGAACACATTCAAGAGCTGAAATAAACAAATTTAGAACTACTTCTCTAAGAACTAGTGCCTTTACAGGTGCATTATTTCATTAATTATTTTCAAACTTCCTAAAACCATGGGCACTCAGAATTGGGTTACAGGGCCAGGTGTGGGGATGGCAGATGTTACATAAGAAAAGCCAATGTGATACCTTGACAAGGAAACCTTAAGAAAATTCACACCAAAGTAGAATGTTGCATCTTGGCATATATGCATATCTTTTTTTCTAAGCATCTTTATTCTCAGCCAACTATCTTCAATTTAATGTCAGAGTATTTTTCTATTAACCCATTTCTTTCATCATTATCTTTCCCAACTCCTCCTCCTACCCTGCAACAGAAGTATATATCCACACCCTTTGTTAGGTGCCTTTGCAGAGCCTCCCAGTAGGAAGAGTGTACATACATCTCTACCCTATTGACCTGGGGCTTGACTATATGACATTGCTTTAGCTAATGGAATATATGTAAAAGTTGCAATGTGTCACTTCTGAGCAGGAACAGGGCAAATTTCAAGAAGCCCCCCTTGAACTCCCACCCTCAGCCATCAGAAGAGCACGTTTCCAGGTATTTTTGCTTTTTCAGCCTGGGTCCCAGAACAAAGATACATGTTGCAGACATGAACCCAAAACCAAAGTTGGAGTCCAGCCTAATCCAGCCAAGATCTAAGCCACTGAAGAACCAAGAACATGAAATATAAGCCACTGAGATTCTGGGATTGTTATGCAGCATTCCTTCCTATTGTAAGAGATCTTTTATTGTTCAGGGTATTACCAACATCAGGATCTCCACTATTCATCTATTATTTCCTGATAACATTTATTTATTCATTCACTGGATAACAATAAGAGGGTTCAAAGTTCAAAGGTACCAAAAATACACAGTGAAAAGCCTCCCTTATTCCACTTTTGCCTTGTTATCCAGATCCCTTCTCCAAAGTCAGCTAATATTACCTGCTTCTTACATATCTTTCCAGATATTTTATACATATATACACACATACCTCTCCTTTTAAAAAAATAAACCCATGATATTTTTCTGAATCCCCCACCATTTAAAATCCACTTTGTGCTTACTCTTTTCTTTATACAATGAGCTTCTTTCATTTTATGGCTGCAGAATATTCCAAGGAAGGGTCGTACATAATTTATTTCACCAACCATTATCTATTAATGAACACTGAGATTGTTTCCAATCTTTTGCTAAAATATGGTGATGAATGCCATGTACTTCCATTATTTTCTCGTGTAGACAAACCAATATAATAAATTTGTGGGGGAGGAACTGCTGTATCAAACGGTATATTCATTTGAAATTATATTTTTTAAGGAATACATCTGATTTTTGAATAGGTAATATATGCATATGGTACAGAATTTTAAAAGAACAAAAATGTAAATAGTTAAGTCTCCTCACCTCCTTCTCCCCCAGCCACCGAGTTCCTTTCCTTTCCCAGAAGCAACCCCTGTGACCAACTTACCGTCTGTCTTTCCACAAATGTGTATGTGTGTGTAGAAAAATTCTTATTTGAGCCTGAGGGGAGTCAGTCTAGCTGAGCCTGAGTAGTCCTGAAGGTCACTCTTGAAGGCTCGCGATGTGGGGACACTGCAAAGTGCAGAGTGTCCCTGCTTTCATAAATGCAGCCCCATAATTAAGTGTGCCTGGGGTCCCCTGGTTCAAAGATCCTGTTTTATGTTCTCAAGGGAACAGCCTCCTGCCTTCTAATAGGAGAAAGGCAGTCACCCAAAAATGTGAAATAGGGAAGGCGATGTAGATACCTAATTGCTTCTCGAACAGATTTCACCTAAGTTTAAGCCTTATTCAAGCCCTCCACCCACGCCCCCAACGCCATTTCCTTCACGGGCAGTTCTCAAGGTGTCTGGTGCTGCCAGTTTCTGTGGTTTGCAGAGACTTGTGCCACACTATTCCTTGCTGCAGGTGCAGAATTAAGCTAAGCTCTGCGAACAACATTTGCCTTCCAGACCCCAGTATTTTACTGCTGTTGTTTCCTTTCCCATTCTCTCCATCATTTGGGTTTACGTCTTTTAAAAAACTTCTTCACTGTAATTCTGGTGAGATTTCAGGAGGGAGTAATGTCAGATACACGTATTCAACCCCCTATCTTAGCCTAGACCACTCCTCCTCAACAACTTCGTGTGTGTGTGTTTTTCCAGAAAAACTACTCCCTTCCAGATCTCCTGCTCACGGTCTACCTTCACGACCGGTGCACATGTTCCGGACTACCGCCACTAACAGTATGGCCCCACCGTAAGCTGGTCTCGGCCGTCTAGGCTACAGCCCCCGGTTCTGAGTTCGCACAGGGCAGGGCAAGTCTGGCTCTGCAAACGGGGAGCTACGGAGACACCGCGGCGAGGAGTCGGTAGTCTCCGCACTTCTTAGCCGTGTCCCCACATCGCGAGCCTTCGAGAGTGACCTGCAGGACTACTCGGGCTCCGCGCGCAATAAGCGATCGCATCTCACGCCGAAGGACCGAAACGCCCCAACCACCGTAACGTCCAGCCAGAAACAGCGTGGGCTTTATCTGTCGTATCTACAGCACTACGCGGCAAGTCGCGGGCAGACAAAAACGTCAAGAGTTCAAGTCTTCCGGGGCTGATCATCCGGCCGGGTCCACAACAGACACCGAAGGGTCCCAGCGCAGACATTCGGAGCGAGCTCCCCCAGGGGTTTGGGATTCGAAGGCACCTGAGGCTCCAATCCCTCACTCAACTGGCGCGCGTGCGCGGGGCTGCGCGGTGGCCGTCCCCAGGGCCCGGCGCGACCCCGCACGGCTCCCCGCGGCTCGCCTCTCCCCGCCCGCCCCGTTCCCTCACTCCGGCCTCGCCATCCGCCGGGCGGGCGAAACCCCGGCGGCCGGGCCCGCGAGCAGCGAGCTCACACCGACCGCCTCACGGAGGCGACCAACAGCCCCCGAGGGGCGACGGCCGCGAGCTCGAAATGTCTCACTCGGATGGGGCCACCAGGCGCGCCAGCACCCTCCTCTGGAGGCCGCCCCCGCCGCCGCACTTACCGGGGAAGGGAAGGTGGCCAAGAGCACCCAACCGTCCTCACTCCCCTTCACGGAACAAACTACCGCGCTCGAAGTGACCGCCTCGCCGCACCCGCCAGCCCGTTCCGCCTCGGCGCACGCGCGCTCAGGCCCCGCCCCCCGGGCGCGCGGGCCGGCGCGCGCGGCACGCTGGGAGCGGGAGTTTTCCAGCCCTTCCCTTGGGGGCGGGGCAGCAGGTACTCACCAGCCCCCGGGTGGCTCAGGAGCCGCTTCCAGTCGCTGCCTCCCCCCCGCCCCCGGCTCACTCCGCGCTGGACCCTTCCCTGTCCCAGCAGCTCCGTTCCAACAGTTGCGCAGGTCCACGAACGTGAGGTCAACTCTCATTATTCTTTTTTTCACACCCACAGTCTGTCCATCCTGTTGACTCTGTTTGCAAATACAAACAAAAGCCAGCTGCCTCTCCTGCTGCTACCGGACTGGTTGCAGTGCCCCCATTCAACTCTGCCTGGATTATTGAAATAATCTACTAAACGCTCTCTTGTCCCCATCTCTGCCTCCACCTCTTTGCTACCTGATCATCACAGCAACCAGCTGGACCTGGTTGAAATGTAAACACCTCCTGTCAAAGCCTTCCAGAGGCTTCCCATCGCTCTCATAAGGAAAGCCAAAGCCCTTACAATGACCACCAAGGTTTTATATTATTTTTTTGGTTTTGTTTGTTTCAAGTTTTCATTTAAATTCCAGTAATATTAGTTTCAGGAGTAGAATTTAGTGATTCAACACTTGTGCATAACATCCAGTGCTCATCTCAAGTGCCCCCATGAATATCCTTCACTCATTTAACCCACCCCCCCTTGCCCACCTCCCCTCCAGCAACCCTCAGTTTGTTCTCTATAGTTAAGAATCTGTTTTATTATTTGCCTCTCTCCTTTTTTGTCCCTATGTTTATCTGTTTTATTTCTTAAATTCCACATATGAGTGAAATCATATGGCATTTGTCTTTCTCTGACTGACTTATTTTCCTTAGCATAGTACACTCTAGTTCCATCCATGTCGTTGCAAATGACAAGATTTCATTCTTTTTATGGCTGAGTAATATTCCATTGTATATATACACCACATCTTCTTTATCCATTCATCAGTGGATGGATATTCGGGATCTTTCCATAATTTGGCTATTGTTGATAATGCTGCTATAAACATCAGGGTGCGTGTGTCCCTTCGAATCAGTATTTTTGTATCCTTTGGGTAAATACCTAGTAGTGCAATTGCTGGATCTAGGGTAGTGCTATTTTTAACTTTTTGAAGAACTTCCAGACTGTTTGCCACATTGGCGGCACCAGTTTGCATTCCCACCAATATTTTAAGAGGGTTCTCCTTTCCCCGCATCCTCACCAACATCTGTTGTTTCCTGAGTTGTTAATTTTAGCCATTCTGACAGGTGTGAGGTGAATCTCATTGTAGTTTTGGTATGTATTTCCCTGATGAGTGATGTTGAGCGTCTGTTTATGTGTTTGTTAGCCATCTGGATGCCTTCTTTGGAAAAATGTCTATTCATGTCTTCTGACCATTTCTTAACTGGATTATTTGGGTTTTGGGTGTTGACTTTAATAAGTTCTTTATAGATTTTGGATACTAACCCTTTATCAGATATGTCATTTGCAAATATCTTCTCCCATTCTAAAGGTTACCTTTTAGTTTTGCTGATTGTTTCCTTCACTGTGCAGAAACTTTTTATCTTGATGACATCCCAATAGTTCATTTTTGCTTTTGTTTCCCTTGCCTCCAGAGACCTAATAAGAAATTGCTATAGCCGATGTCAAAGAGGTTGCTATCTGTGTTCTCCTCCAGGATTTTGATGGTTTCATGTCTCACATTTAGGTCTTTCATCCATTTTGAATTTATTTTTGTGTAACTTGTGAGAAAGTGGTCCAGTTTCATTCTTCTGCATGTTGCTGTCCACTTTCCCCAACACCATTTGTTTAAGGGGCTGTCTTTTTTTCCATTGGATATTCTTTCTTGCTTTGTTGAAGATTAGTTGACCCAGAAATGGGTCCATTTCTGGGTTTTCTGTTCTGTTCCACTGATCTTTCTCTTTTTGTGCCAGTACAATACTGTCTTGATCACTGCAGCTTTGTAGGTATACCTTGAAGTCCATGATTGTAATGACCACAGCTTTGCTTTTCTTTTTCAAGATTCTTTGGCTATTTGGGGTCTTGGTGGTTCCATAAAAATTTTAGGATTCTAGCTCTGTGAAAAATGCTAGTGGTTTTTTGATAGGCATCACATTGAATGTGTAGATTGCTTTGGGTAGTATAGACATTTTAATAATATTTGTTCTTCTAACCCATGAGCGTGGACTGTCTTTTCATTTCTTTGTGTCATCTTCAATTTCTTTCATAAGCGCTCTATGATTTTCAAAGTACAGATCTTTTAGCTCTTTGGTTAGGTTTATTCCTAGGTATCTTATGGGTTTTGGTGCAGTTGTAAATGGGATCAATTCCTTGATTTCTCTTTCTGCTGTTTCATTATTGGTGTGTAGAAATGCAACAGATTTTTGCATGTTGATTTTGTATCCTGCAACTTTACTGAATTTGTGTATTGGTTCTAGCAATTTTTTGGTGGAGCCTTTCAGGTCATCTACATAGAGTATCATGTCATCTGCAAATAGTGAAAGTTTGACTTCTTCCTTGCTGATTTGGGTGCCTTTTATTTCTTTTTGTTGCCTGACAGCTAAGGCTAGGACTTCTAGTACCATGTTAAATAACAGTGGTGAGATGGACATCCCTGTCTTGTTCCTGACCGTGGAGGAAAAGTTCTCAGCTTTTCCCCATCTAGGATAATATTAGCTGTGGGTCTTTCATAGATGGCCTTTATGATATTGAGATATGTTCCCTCTATCCCTGCTTTGTTGAGTGTTTTTATCAAGAATGGATGCTGTACTTTGTCAAGTGTTTTTTTCTGCATCTACTGAGATCATATGGTTCATATCCTTTCTTTTATTAATGTGATGTACAAGTTGATAGATTTGCAAATATTGAACCACCTTTGCAGCCCAGGAATAAATCCCACTTGATTGTGGTGAATAATTCTTTTTATGTACTATTAGATTCAATTTGCTAGTATTTTGTTGATAATTTTTGCATCCATGTTCAACAGGGATATTGGCCTATAATTCTCTTTTTTTAATGGAATCTTTGTCTGGTTTTGGAATCAAGGTAATGCTGGCCTCATAGAATGAGTTTGGAATTTTTCCTTCCATTTCTATTTTTCTGGAACAGATTGAGAAGAATAGGTATTAACTCTTCTTTAAATATTTGGTAGAGGGGCGCCTGGGTGGCTCAGTTGGTTAAGCGTCTGCCTTCGGCTCAGGTCATGATCCCAGGGTCCTGGGATTGAGCCCTCCATCAGGCTCCCTGCTCAGCGGGGAGTCTGCTTCTCCCTCTGCCTCTGCCCCTCCCCCTGCTTGTGCTCTCTCTGGCTTTCTCTCTACCTCTCTCTCAAAAAAAATAAAATCTTAAAAAATAAATAAATAAATAAAAATAAATATTTGGTAGAATTCTTCTGAGAAGCCATCTGGCCCTGGACTTTTATTTGTTGGGTGATTTTTTATTACTGACTCAATTACTTTGCTGGTTATCAGTCTGTTCAAGTTTTCTATTTCTTCCTGTTTCAATTTTGGTAGTTTATGTGTTTCTAGGAATTTATCCACTTCTTCCAGATTGCCCAATTTGTTGGCATATAATTTTTCATAATACTCTCTTTTAATTGTTTATCTTTCTATGGTGTTGGTTGTGATCTCTCCTTTCTCATTCATTATTTTATTTTTTGGTCCTTTCTCTTTTTGATAAGTCTGGCTAGTTTTATTAATTCTTTCAAAGAACCAGCTCCTGGTTTCATTGGCCTGTTCTACTGGGTTTTTTATTTCTAGATCATTGATTTCTGTTCTAATCTTTATTATTTCTCTTCTTCTCCTGGCTTTAGGCTTCACTTGTTGTTCTTTTCCTAGCTCCTTTAGGTGTAAGGTTAGGTTGCGTATTTGAGATTTTTCTTGCTTCTTGAGGTAGGCCTGTGTTGCTATATACTTCCCTCTTATGATTGCTTTTGCTGCATCCCAAAGGTTTTGGACCACTGTGTTTTCATTTTCATTTTATTCCATACATTTTTTTAAATTTCTTCTTTAATTTCCTGGTTGATCCATTCATTCTTTACTAGGATATTCTTTAACCTCCATGTACTTATGGTCTTTCTAATTTTTTTCTTGTGGTTGACTTCAAGTTTCATAGCATTGTAGTCAGAAAGTATGCATGGTATGATCTCATTTTGGTGTGACAAGTTTTTTTACTTGCTGAGGCCTGATTTGTTACCTAGTATGTGGTCTATTCTAGAGAATATCCCACATACACTCAAAAAGAATGTGTATTCTGGTGCTTTAGGATGAAATGTTCTGAATATATCTGTTAAGTCCATCTGGTCCAGTGTGTCATTCCAAGCCATTGTTTCCTTCTTGATTTTCTGCTTAGATGATCTGCCCATTGATGTAAGTGGGGTATTAAAGTACCCTACTATTATATTATTATCAATGAGTTCCTTTATGTTTATTATTAATTGTTTTATATATTTGGGTGCTCCTATGTTGGGGGCATAATTATTTACAATTGTTAGATATTCTCATTGGATAGACCCTTTTATTATGATTTGGTAATCTTCATCTCTTGTTACAGTTTTTGGTTTAAAATGTAGTTTGTCTGGGGGTGCCTGGGTGGCTCAATTGGTTAAGCGTCTGCCTTCTGCTCAGGTCATGATCCCAGGGTCCTGGGATTGAACCCCGCATCTGGCTCCTTGCTCAGCGGGGAACCTGCTTCTCCCTTTCCCTCTGCCTCCCCCTTCCTCCCCCTCTGCTCTCTCTCTGTCTCTCTGTCTGTCTGTCTGTCTCTCTGTCAAATAAATAAATAAAATCTTTTTAAAAATAAAATAAATAAAATCTAGTTTGTTTGGTATAAGTGTTGCTACTCCAGCTTTCTTTTGATGTCCATTTGCATGAAAGATGGTTCTCCATCCCCTCACTTTCAATCTGCAGGTGTCTTTAGGTCTAAAATGAGTCTCTTGTAGGCAGCATATAGACGGGTCTTGTTTTTTTTTATCCATTCTGACACCCTATGTC